GAATACGGGGGCAGAATGGGAACACTTATGGTGGGGGGGGGATGACCGGAACCCGCCCGCAGCGGGTGGCGTTGGAGCGAAAAACCCTACCTGCTGTCCCGTGGACCTAGAGTGCTCAAGTTTGGGGGGTGTACGGGCGGTAGGATAGGAACACTCATGGTGGGTGGCAGGACCGGACTCTAGACAAAGGGGGCGATGCGTGCGCAATAAAAACTTGGGCCGCAAAAATTCATAACTCTGTTTACGTGAACCTAGAGCATTGTAATTTGGTAGGATTACACATTTTGTACTAACAGTGGAACCTCAGCATTTTAGTAAGTGATGTAGGATATGACGGGATCGTAGGTACTCGGTGACAAGAACTGATCATAACTGATAAGAGAAGATAAGGGATCTAAGAGAGGTCACCTGCCGATCAAAATCCTAACATCTTCGGTACCTACGATGTAGCTTCGACCGTTCAGTACGTTCCATTCGATAAGACGAGATTGTAGAGCAAGGGTGACAAAAGTGAGTGGTAAGGGCAATGATGGGGACCCACTAGGGCTATACCTCAGGCAGATTAGAACTTCGTTCATTTATTACTAGTAGATTACGACCGCTACCCAGCAAGGTTTGTGATTCAATGAAAGGTCCTCTCTGGTCGATATCATTTGCAACAAAACTTAATCGACCACCAATATTCTGGTATTCTCAACTAATGTTATCTCCGTAAAAAAAGGGTCCATTGATAAAGAACATCTGATAACGGTGCTATCATCACTCAGTACATCATCTTTGTTTGTCTACCAGTGGGATTTTTTAAGGGTATTTATTTCTAAGAAAAACAGCAAAAGTCCGAAACTTCCAATCAAAGGCGTGAGCACCGACTTGAAGTGAATACCATTTACACTGCCCTTTTAGTCCTGTGTCGAATTTCGTGTACAGGAAACTGTCATTTGTTTCAAAAAAGGAGTGGAGGGTTAGACTTACTACAACTTTATCAACGAAGGAGGGAAGCTATCGATTTCTGTTGTGTCAGAAAAGGATTTCGAGCTCTGTTTCAGTTTCATACTCTCACTCAGCTTGACAGCGGAAAAAACTTAGATCTGTAAACTTTCAAAATGGGAAAAAAACTCTTTAGTTCAAAATTTCTCGGTATAGGGTGTTGGACACAAGAAGGAAGAGAGCCTGGCGTTAGTCGGGCGATCCGTCTGGTGGCATATGAGCCATTAAGAAGGCGAGGGTAAGAGGGGTCTCGGAAGTGTAAGGGATAGAGCACGGTCCTCAGAAAGCACAAGCACGGGTTCGAGCCCCGTCCAAGACTGAAGTTCTGTCTTTAAATCGCCAACCTTGTGAGACTTTCGGAAGTCCTTTTGCGGCGAAATAATAGCAGTTAATAAAACATCAAGTCAAAACAAGTAGAATTATGGTTTTCGCGAAGATTTGAATATACACTTTACAACGAATATGACAACCTTCTTTCGTGCGTTTCATGTCTCATAGAATCTTCTACAACCTTTTATAACAAAAATAAAAATAAAGTAAAATAAAATAAATATAATAAAAATAAATCCCCGAAAAAACTAAGGGTCGAAACGTGAAACGATGATCGGGGGTGGGGGGAAGGGCAGGAGGAAGAAGGGATTGTGCTCAACCCTAAAGAAAAATTTACCAATCTAAGGAAAAGTTCTTATAAGATCTAAATTAACACCTCACTTGATTTCTTATATAAACTATCAGTCGCGATCAGTCAGTTATCAGTCATATAACGATTGTTCTTGATCGGTTATCATTCAAAGAATACGTACAGTTTAAAGGTTCATTGAGACAAAGACGAAAAACGGAACTTAAAGAAGGATGGTTGCCCGAATCAGTTCGGCAAAATCGAAAGTCAGACTGCCATTCACATGGAAAAATACGACCCAGGCGGTGAACAAAGGAGGCGTGGAACATCAACCACTGTCAATAGCCATCATAAAGGAGAGGAGAGGATGGAACATACTATTTTCCACAGGATAGAAAAAACAATTTAGGACGGTGACGATATGGAGCATGACTTCGCCATCAATCAATTCGAAGAAGACCGCTATCAACCGCTATCAGGAGTTACTTTGTTGAGCAACTTTTTTTGTAGATCATGTAGAACAGTTGAAATGAAGTGTAAAGAAGACGTCTTAGAGTACCTGCATCGTTTCCAAGCTCAATTTGAAGCCGGTTTAAGGATCTTCATGCCTCACCACAGCATTGCACAATGCGTAGGTTCAATATTAAAAATGATGGATGACTAAGAATTCAGGTGAAAGTGCGTGAAGATCGCTCAAAGCACACAATACAGTAACGGAACACTCTTGTCGATGCCATTTTGTTTTAATGAAAAACTTCATCCAATCATTCTTTCGGCAAACACAACTCGAACCGCTGTAAGAAACATTCACCCTTTGATACTGCTGATGCAAAACTAGCGAGCGCACGTCATTGTCCTCATGCGGGCCCGACAGCCTTCCATGTGGAGCCATCCAAATCCAAAATGTTTGCAGTGAGTAAAGAAACTTAACCAAACTAGCAAAGGTGACCGTAAAAGGAACTATCGCTAACCCCAAGAATCTCTTTTTTGATTTGTTTCCACCAAGATAGAAAAAGCCTTGCTCAAAAAGCTTTTCGAACCAAACCGCCGAGGATGAAATAAACGGTACCTCAGATAAGAGTGTGAAGGGCTATGACAGCTTGTCAACCCGTTCGAGATAATGGATAAAGTCCTTGACATTGATCAATCCCGGTATGGGAAGCGCTTCGTCATATGACTTCAATCCAGACTCATAGAGACGGTTGAATGCGTATGTGGCGTACACAACGGCCTGCAATGGCCAATCGACGTGCAAGTCAGTGTTTTTATCCTGATAAACAAGTCTGGTATCAATTAAGAACCCATGGAAGATTGTAAGGCTCAGCTGGCCTGGGCGAGAATCGATCCGGG